TCTGGAAATATTTTCCTTCTCTCTTTCCAACTGTACAGCCCCTTAATCTTTATCTGCAGGCAAGTGACTATTCTGGGACTCTTGACTTTTAAGAGAACCAGCTGCTAACACCACCTCTGCCTTCCCTATGTGCCCTTTTCACCTCCTTCTTCCCTTCAGTAATCCAACCACCAAAACAATCTTTACCTGCAGGAGAGGCTGAGTTGGTGCCTGAGCAAGTGTATTTTTTTATATATATAATTATTTATTTTATTTGTTCATTCATTTATTTCTTAATTTGACCAGAGAGAGACAGAGGGTGGGAGAGAGAGGAAGTGAGAAAGCAAGCCACCAGATTCAGGACTTGAACCCTGGTCAGCCATGTGGGAGTGTCAGTGCCTTAACCACCATGCCACCTGCTAGTCCCAAGTGGATTTATTTTTTGAGCATTATTTCTTGATCAATGGCTTCTAAAGCCATATTGGGAAGAAATCTGCTTTTAGGGCACTTAGTTTTATGGCTTAAAACATTTCATAAATGAGAAGTCATATAGTGGCAACTTGTTGGCTTCCTGTTGATCAGTTAGGTCAGAGCAGAGTCATTAAACAGACACATTTCCCTGATAAGTATCTCATGAGAGTTAAAAACCAAAATTTTAAAATTCACAGAGATTCATTCACAGGGCCAGCCCAGGGAAATTACAGCCTTTTAAAATTTGCATATATTGCTATGCAAAAAGAAAAAGGAACACAAAGGGTGGAAGAAAGAAGTAGGAAGGACAGGAAAAGAGAAACCAATTATTACACAAGTCTTTCCCGACCCCTGTGCTCTCTGAACTCACCAGGAAAAATGCGGAAGTATTTACTTATCAACCAAACAACCTGGGCAAAGACTCATCATTTTCCATTCACCTTATTGTTTTTGGTGAATCAGGAAATTTCTTGGAAACACATTCTAAGAGGAGAATAGACACAAAACTCATATGTCAGCCACCACCCCAGTACCACTCTCACTTTCAAAAATCAGCTTTCCCGAAGGCTGCGACCTGCACAGGCCCTCCCGGGCTCTGCGCGCCCCCCCCCCCTCGCCCCCATGCCAAGGCTGCAACCGGCGGCGGGTCCTG